GACTATATATAATTGTGCCTATATTATACGCTCTTTTCAAGAATTTGCTAGGCGTTAGTGCGGCGGTTGAGGAGTGGCTAGAGTCGAGACACTAACTAGGCGCCAATATATTAGGTCATTTTTTTTGATGACTAGGTCGATTAGTCCTCTACAAAAGGAGTTGTCTAGCGCCTAGACGCCAATTAATCGGACCAATTAGGTCGAATTTTAGAACAATAATTATAAAAGATAGAGTCTGATTCCAATAAAAAGTAATCTTGCTATACAATTCTGAACGACACCACTTTTGAACATTTGAGATACACGGTTGCATTCACATTATTTTCGCTATCCAATTTTCATTACGGTGCACTACACCATACTGAAACTCTGAAAGTGCATTTTTTTCAACGGAGAAAATTTCAATTTATTTGTGAAAATGACATCATGTTTTTCATCCACTTTAATGTTTCTACATATTTAGTCATATAAGATATGCTGTTGGAAAACAACTAACAAGCACACCACTTTCATAGAAAACTGACTTTATTACATTTTCAAACTTACGTCCTACTTTTTCATATATAGTTTCCAAGTGCTCATTTGACAATCACTTTTTTTCTTCCTTTCTATCGTTGTTTCATGATACCGTTTGTGCACTATTTTAACCCCATTTAATCTTTGTATTTACAAATTAAATTTCTAGCATTTCCATAATATCAAACACATTGTAGTCTCATAATATCATTATGGGAATCTAATCTCAATTCAAGAATGTTGCCCTTTAACATAAAATAAATATATTATAATAGGTAGAAACACCTAACACGCAGTGGCGGATTCAGAATTTTTCTAGAGCAGGGGCACTCCTGGAGAGATGGAAATGGGTCGGATCAGGTGGAATCGGGTCGAATTTAGTGTATCATTAGTCTTTTTTATCAAGTGCGTTTAGATTATTATTTTTAATTGGAAATAGATTATTCAATGTCGGCTTCAAGCAATGGACATATATGTATTATTAGTCTAATTTTGAACTTATTAAGACAATTCTAAACAATATGTATGACTTTTTGAAAGAAAGATATATGTTAGATAAAAAATGATTCATCTTTGTGCCGTTTCTGATTTTACATTAGAATTCTCGTTTTTTTTCATACTATAAAAAAATCAAGATTTCACATGTGAACTAGAATCATGTCGAATGTTACACATTGTGCCACAAAATTTGTTGGTACTTTGTCTGGAATATAACACTATCGTGTTAAAAATGAAGTATAAGTCATGTTTATGGTTTCATCCTTTAATACACCTTTATTTAATAATATGATTCTATGTATCTAACATTTATCATATTATAGATAAAATATCAAAGAGTCTGTTGGTTTGAAACTAATTTATTGCGAATTGACACTTTTTTTATGTATGGACCTTTATTCAAAATAAAAGTCTTCAATCTATTAAGTTAATACTACATAGTAGAACCCTTCTCATATATCTGACCTTTAACTTTGGACAAACATTATTTACACTAAGTAAGAAAAACCAGCAGTGCCACTTTTCAAAGAAAGTGTAGTAATCATATCAACAACATGTCTAACTATAAGGATTTGCTTCATCACAACTTCGTGGTTGATGGAGTATATAACCCAGGAACCCCCGGCCCATAGACTCCCACTACTATATCGAAGGCCCAATAGATCCAGGAAGCACAACAGGCCCAAATCACAGCGCCCCAAGTGCCAAACAGCCCACGACGAACGCTGGGTGCCTTCGCCCCCTGGCCGAAGGCTCATAAACTTACAGTACAACTGCTTTTAAGCACTCAAAGCTACTGGGAGAAAACGGCGAAAACGGTAGCCCTCGGCACCTAGAGGCCCCCGGGATGAAGAGCCTTCGACTAATCATCTACGGCCGAAGGCATCTCCTCGACAGAATCTCCCGCCCACATGCGCTGGATCAACGTACCGAGTACAAACGTCACATCCAACCACCGCATTTAATGTGGCCACATGTGAGTGCCAGTGCCACCCCGTTGAGGTGACCCCTCGACCGCCAGAATGATGACACGTGTCCCTATCTAGCATTTATTGGTGCTATAAATAGCACCCCTTTCCCCATTTGTAATCCACTCTAAAAACGCTGAATACGCTCATTATCAATATACACCCTCTCTCTACTTTTGCTCTGACTTCTCTCTAGTTACTCCCCGCAGTAACCTCTCGGATAGATACCCCCGGGTACACTTATCCATCAGTGGTTGTTTATAATTTATACTACTATATCTTACTACAATTGTTATGTCTTCGATGGGGTCCTATATAGCTTAAATGTTTTTGAAATAATGACAATATGATTGAAATAAAGATAGTGAACAACAATAAGACTTAGTAACTACAATGGTAATTTTAGTGACAAAAATTGTGTTCAATCTGTCAGTATAGTGATTATGCATAGTAACTATAGTAGTATTTATGTTCATTAGTTCTACTTCGGTAATATTTATGGAATAATCTCTAGTTTTTTTAACCGGGTAGCAGGGACACAATTTGTATCTCAAGTACTAAACTTAAACTTCGGGAACGGAAGCGGAAGTATTTGCCCCCAGGACCCCCCTAGGTCCTCCACTGTAACTCGAATAACACTTATATAGAATTGATGAAAACTAACTTTATTACATTTTGAGAGAACTATCAAATAAGCCCTCGAACTTTCATAAAAAGTGCAAATAAGCCCTTTTACAGGAGGCTTTGTCCAGCTGTCGCCATTTTGGGTGGTTTCCGGTGAAATTTTTTGATGATTTTTTTTGAGCATCTCCTTCATTAAGTCTAGTTTATTCATACCAAATTTCAGCTAAAAATTCAATCGAGAAGGCAGTCAAATGATTTTCTGAAATATATTGCGCTATCTAACTGCGCAATTATCTTCAAAAATTCATTTGACTGCGTTTCCGATTGAATTTTTAGCTGAAATTTGGTATGAATAAACTAGACTTAATGAATAAGACACTAAAAAAATTTCATCAAAAAATGTCACTGTAAACCGCCTCCAAATGGCGACGGCGGAACATAGCCTCCTATAAAAAGGCTTATTTGCACGTTTTATGAAAGTTAGAGGGCTTATTTGATAGTTCTCCCTTACATTTTCAAACTTACTTTTTCATCTATAGTTTCAAGTGCTTATTTGATGATCATTTTTCCTTGGCTAAAGGGTCAAATAGTTACATGAAATAACTTAAAGTGTTCAATTAGCCCCTTATTTAGGAGGTTCTGTCCGGCCGTCGCCAATTGAGGCGGTTCCCGATGGAATATTTTGATGAATTTTTTTGAGCATCTTCTTCATTAAGTCTAGTTTACCCATATCAATTTTCAGTTAAAAATGAAATCGGGAAGACGGTCAAATGATTTTCCGAAATGTACTGCGCTGTTTAACTGCGCAGTTATCTTCAAAAAAACATTTTATTGCTTTCCCGGTTGAATTTTTAGCTGAAATTTGGTATGTGTAAACTAGACTTGATGAAAAAATTGCTCAAAAAATTTCATCAAAACATTCCTCCAGGAACCGCCCCAATTGGCGACGGCCGAGCACAACCTCTTATATAAAGGGCTAATTGAACACTTTAAGTTAGTCAATGTATTTATACCGTTTCTTCCTTTTCCTAAAGGGTAAACCTATACTATTAGTTGTTTCATGATACCGTTTGTGCACTATTTTTAACCCCGTTTAATCTTTGTATTTACAAATCAAGTTTCTAGCATTTACAAAATTCAATTTTTACATGTTTAGTAAGTTGTGGTCTGATTAGGGCCGGTTTTGAGGGAGGCAAGAGGGGCGACCGCCTTAGGCCCGAAAAAAATAGAAGAAAAAATAGGCCCAAATTTTTTTCTTTATATATAGTGTGAGTAAGCTTCTTTTTTTATTCTTAAGTTCAATTAATTAGGCCTAATGATTAATTTTGTTGGCAAATTGAAAATTTAAAACATAAATAAAGAGTCTTAAACAGGGACAAGTTTAAAACAGAATATATACATTAATTTTTAGCAGGATCGGTTGTAGTTTTTAAAAGCAATACAATTGTCGCTGCATAAATAAAAGACACGTCTCTCGAGTCCTCACATCTTTTTAACTTTTAAGGTTTTTTATTCAATTTAATTATAACATAACAAATTTATATAATTATTTTAAAGCCCGTTTCTCTCAAATTTCACCCAATTATTCATTTCTTTCCAAATTTCAATAAGCTATATCTGAGTTCCTAATATTAATTCTAGAGGACGGCAAATTTGCAATCTTCTTGCGCGAGTCCTCTTGACAGTCAAACATTTTGTTTCTTTGAAAACCTTCATTCTTTCGAGACTTCAAACTTTAGACTCGCATCATCGGTTAATAAATCATTCTCAACTTATGAATTCAATATGTGGTAATATTTCTTTTCATTTATCCTTTCAAAAGAAAGTTTAATGTTGTTATATGTGGCAATTTTATTGTTTGTCATATTTATTAGTGGAAAGAAGGTTGCATATGAAGCAATTATTAATGATGATTTGCTTCACATTGAGAAACGTTTTTAAGTAATGTTTTTTCTTTTTATTCAATACTCGTGTTGTTACTTTTGCCCAAATATGTAATTTATATAATAATAAAGTGATTATCGTCTTTATTTTATGAACTTCATTGCCTAAATATGATTTATTGTTTGTCATGGATATAGGCTCAAAATAGCATAACGCCCATAAGCCCAGAAATTGACAGTACCGACCCTGGGTCTGATAATGTCAGTATTACACATATCTTTTCAAGTGGATGTTCACTCACGATCATGTTAGTATGTCAATTTTCTGTTAGTCTATCCCTCTGAAGTCAATAGTTAGTACGATTTGGATAAACGTAAAACAGAGTAAAATTGTTTGTCGGTTTTGATCGTTTTTGACATATTTCAGTCAACTTTGTACTATCTCATTTGTTGAAATGTGTTTAAACCTCAAATGCTCAAACTGTGAATTGAATGCTTATAATTTGGTAAGTTTTTGTCGATAGTAAAGATTGATTTTTTTCGGTTGGCCCTAAAACTATTCAAAAGTAAAGAACGGAGATGGTATAAATTTAGGTACAAGAATCAAAGCGTGTTTGGCTTTCCCTCCTTTCCTTCATTGTCATTGATCTCTAACCCTGCTGAAGTGCTGATAGTATCAAGTCCTCTCTCTATCAAGAACGTTGCCATTAACTTTTTGTGAAAGCTCCAGAAGAAGATGGAACCCTCAGCTTTGGGCACATATTGTATTAGGGGTTGAAACAGAGTATAAAAATCCAAACTTGGGGGATAAAAGCACTTGCCCCATAATTAATCAATGACCTGGAGTTTCATAGCCCTACCGCAAGCTGGCCTATATTGTCCGTGCACTCCGCTGTCCTTTTCCAGAATCTCAAGTAAGGAAAAATGATAAAAAAGCAGTATATGATCAAATTGTCAATCACAACCCATTTGACTCTTTGTCGCTTACAATATTTTGATGTAGCCATTGTAGGGGAGAGGGGCAGCCCACTTTCTTTTCTTTCTTCTCAACTTTCTTCATTTTTCCACCTTTGAATTCCATCTTTTCAGCGGCGTCGCTTTTGCTTCGTTCCCAATTCTTTTACGGACCCACACTCGAGGATAAAGTTTATTAACTTGTCATCCATTCCATAATCTCCCGAGAAACAAATTTCATCACTATATAATGGAGTGGCTGAAGATCTTTTTCTTCAATATATTCACAAACATTCATTTTCTGTTTTGAGTGTTTTCAGTTTCAAAGTTTCAGCCTTTCAGGTAGCTTACAGTATTTTTTTCTTAGGCTGGTCTTATTATTGTCATGTTTTCATGTTTTCATGTTTGCAATGCTTGAAACCTTTTCAAATAGTTTTTCTGTTTCCTGTATTCTTACCTAATGGCTGAGCCTTTCTCTAAAAAAATTACTACGTATAAAGAGTATTGGATAATGGAATGGTGTAGCTTGGGCATTCTTTAGTTACTTTTAGATTTTATGAATGTCTCTTTACATTTCGAAAGTTAATTTCTCTATTGCTTATGTAGGCCACTGAGCAAAAGAAGGGAAGAAATGGAAAACTATGAAGTCATGGGGCAGATAGGAAAAGGTTCTTTTGGTTCTGCACTGCTTGTGAGGCACAAACAAGAAAATAAGAAGTGAGACATCTTTATTTGCTTTCTTCCTTTCACTTTCTTTTTCCCCTTTCTTGCACCTTTTAATGTGCATATGCATATGTCAATACACTTCTACCATTCAGTACATATAAATATTTTACTTCCATCATAATATCATATACATTTGATATTAAATATGCATCTTTTTGGTATTATGTTGATTTTTTTATTTCAAGTTACCCTTGTTTCCCATTTATTAAGGTATGTGTTGAAGAAAATACGTCTTGCTCGTCAGACCGAAAGAAACCGCAGATCTGCCCACTTGGAGGTGACCTTTCCCCCCAAAGCCTCATGCATTTATCTTTTGAAATTTTGTGTTGATGAAGTTTCTTGGTCGATCAAAATGACAATGGATAGTGTACATTTACAGAAATTGCCCTAGTTAGGAGTAAAAACAATTCCTTATAATGTTAAATATGAAAGTATGGTTTCATGATAATAATTACTGGCATGCTTGGAAATTACTGCCAATTATGTCATTTGTACTGTCATAAATTGCAGTAGGATTTCGTGATAAAAATGATTTACTCCTGTTCAGGAAAAAACATAGTATTTCTATTTTGGAATTCACACTGTTTTAACTCCTAATTCGAGTACCATAAATTTATAAAGAAAATATAGTCAATTGTTTCACTCCTTGAGTAGGAGGTTTTAAAGTGTTATGCTAATCTTTCTGATAAAGTGGAAATATTATTTCCTAAAGCTTGGTTTTATATCTTGTTTATGATTGATTTACAAAGAGACGATGTGATCATAAATGTGTTCAATAGTTTGGACTTCAGAAGGAAATGATTACTGTGGCATATTAAAAAAGAGAGATTGTAATGCTAAATGTGTCATTCAAATGCTCCGAGACTGACCCCTTTTGTTTTCAGATGGAGCTGATTGCCAGAGCGAGAAATCCATATATTGTTGAGTACAAAGATTCTTGGGTGGAAAAGGTTCGTGGGTTTTTCTTTCAAAATTATAACTGGTTTTCATGATCACTTCAACTTTTTTTTTTGTTCTCCTGTATATGTCCTGTGACCTTTTGTCACCGTTCATGGAAGGAAAAGGGTGGAAAAGAAAAAAGAGGGGACACAAAAAAGAATACGAAGTAAAAATATACCCCTCCTTGTGGCGGAAAAAGTCTTCCAAAAGTATGAAGTATTATTTTTCCCCCAAAAAGTCAAATTTCATTAAACAAAGCTAGCTTTTAATTTATGTTAAGGGTTGTTTTTTTAAACATTACCACCTCCGTCCCGTTTAAAGGTTCCCATTCGAAAATGGCACTTTTGTAGGCAATAGTGAAATAAAGTAATTTGAGTATAGTTTAAGAAGTAGTTTGGGTGGGCATATGATATAATGGGGCAATTGATGATTACGAGTATCAATTTTAATATGTGACAATAAAGTTGTCATATAAGAGAGTTAGTTATTTCCTAAAATGGAATGGGAACTTGAAATGAGACTTCCAAAAGTGGAAAATGAGAACCTCGAACAGGACGGAGGGAGTACAGTTTACTACATGTTGACACACATTAGTTTTCTGTTTTAGGACAAAAATGTTACCAATGCAATTACTAACTGTCACTGACCATTTGCTGGTTGGTAACATTTTTGGCTTATGCTTAATATATTTTGTGCAATGGGTAGTTACTTAGTACGTAGTAATATTTATGATTTTATGTAATTTTTGTTTCTTCTAACATTACCAACTAGTTGATACAATAAATTTAGTTAAACCAAATGAACAAATTTTAAGAATTGAAGTAGGATTGTCATGAACTTTAATAGTTGTACCTTACGAAATCTAAAAAGTTCCACCTTGACCAAATATGAGTTTTAGAATTTTCTGTGTAGTTGAAGTATGTGGTTGCATTTAATCTGACATTCATGAAGTAATAATGTTTAATTATAGGGCTGCTATGTCTGCATCGTGATAGGGTATTGTGAAGGCGGAGATGTGTGAGTCAATCTCTATTGTTATATATTTTAGGATCATTGAAACCTCAATGTGTTGTCTTGGGTTCCTTCTTATTTGGTCCTTCCATTTTTTTTGTATATAGGGGAGATGCCATCAAAAGAGCAAATGGAACTCTTTTCTCTGAAGAGGTCATTTTAATTACATTTGGGACTAAGGCGTGGATGTTGTTGTTATGGTGAAAATGTATTGCTGATTTTTTCTATACATATCTTACTATCCAATTCTTTAATAACGCGCAGAAGCTTTGTCAATGGCTGGTTCAATTGTTGGTGGCTCTTGATTACTTGCATTCAAACCGTATTCTTCATCGTGATGTCAAGGTTGGTTCCATATGTTTTTCCAACGTATTGATCTATATACAATTGCAATCTCAATCTTATATCTTATGCAATGTGTTTGGTTCAGTGCTCAAATATATTTCTGACCAAGGATCACAATATACGTTTAGGTAATAATCCATTTAGCTATGCCTGAGTCGTTGATATCATCATTCATTCTGATCTGAGATATTAAGCCCAATTGAGATTTTTGCAGGTGATTTTGGTCTAGCAAAGGTTCTCTTTTCTGGGGATCTTACTACTTCTGTAAGTAACTGGGCAGTAATGATTATATAAAATATACTCCGTATAATACTCTTTCCATTGGGTATGTTAGGAACCTGGAGAATCCTAGTGAAGAGAAAATAAGTGCGAAAGAAATTTGTTTTCTTGTGTTTGGCTTTACCTTATCCATTTTATCTTACCTTATCTTTTTATTTTTCTTATCTTTTTTCTCCTTTTGGCTCTGATATCATGGATCGATTCATGCTAGCTGACCCCAAAATCTTTTGAGAATAAGAATTGGATGTTGTTGTTTATGATTGACTTTACCATGAAAATATTAGATGAAACAATTTACTTACACATGTTTAGATTCATTAGTGTTTATATGATAAAAGTAATAAATAATTGAGTTTGAAAAATTATCTAAATTAATTTAAAGATTTTAAACTAATTTGAGCATATTTTATTCTTCAGATTTTTTCATCAAATTTTACTCATTATTGCTCCATATTTTCTTTTCGTGGTACTTTTTGAGTTCCAAACGGACCCTTTATGTAGTCAGTAGTAGTATTATGCATAAAATGACGTATGTCTGTGCTATGGATAGGTGGTAGGCACTCCAAGTTACATGTGCCCCGAGCTTCTTGCAGATATACCTTATGGTTCCAAATCAGACATTTGGTCTTTGGGTAACGCTTTAACTTCTTCATTGGTATAAAAAGTATGATATAAATTTGAATGCTTTTATGTCAAATAATGCTCCCGCTGCTCCTAAATGGCAATTCAGGCTGCTGCATGTATGAAATGACTGCTCACCGCCCTGCCTTCAAAGCTTTTGTAAGTTAATTAGTTAAGGTTCTTTCTTCATCTTCAGTAATACTTCATCCGTTCTTTAATAGTTGCAACATTGTAGTTTTTGCACTATTCACACACCTTACTTTGTCCACGATTTTCTACTAATATATACAATCAAATTATGTATAAAATGCTATTAAATTTCTATTAATTTGAATTTCCAAAATATTAACTTTTTATAATGTTCACTAGTACGTAATTAAACATAATTACAGTCAAAGTTGTGCGTTGGCAAACGTGAAATGTGTTTTGTAGCAATCTTTTTTGGCTGAAATGAAAATAAATGTGGAACAGAGGGAGTATATATATATATATATATATATATATATATATATATATGAAAATGCTTACATCCAGTACTTGGTTAATGATGCAGGATATGCAAGGTCTGATTAGTAAAATAAATAAATGTATAGTTGCTCCATTGCCAACAATTTATTCTGGAGCACTGTGAGTTTTGTTTTACCCACAAATTTTTAATTTTTTTTTTGAGATATTTGTTTAACTCAAAACTGACTAGTTATTTTTGTTGTGCTGGAATCTCATATTTACCAGTCGGGGGCTGATTAAGAGTATGCTGAGACGAAATCCTGAACTCAGACCAAGTGTATGTCTTTTCAGCATTCTTTGACAATTGTTTCTAAAGAAAATAACACCCCATCTGTCCTCTTCTTATTTACCCCGTTTGACTCTTTATGGAGTTTTTTTCCATCATTTGCAATGGAGCCAAAGATTCATTATTTTTTGGCTTGAGATTATGATGGAATAAAGCAAAATGGCTCACTAAACTGTCTGCGCTTCTTTGTTATGAAGCAACAGTCAGGACATGCAATTTTGGACGCGATTTTCACTATGGGTCATCCGGAAACAGTCTCTCTGTGCTTTAGTATAGGGGTAAGACTGCGTACATACGACCCCCCTTACCCCCCCTTTGCGGCACTGGGGTAAATGAAAATGAAATGACTCTTTATGGAGTTTAAGAAAATTATTAGTTCTTAGGTAAGACATATGAAATGCCGAACAAACAGTGCTAGTAAGCTGATTTCACTATCCAAAGAAACAAACAGATTATCTGTTTTGAATTCCAAGTCATCCTTAAGTGTCTGGAAGTTGCATTTTTAAGAGAGGGCTTGTTGAAATACAAGAATATCAATATAATGTGAAGTCAACAATTATTTATTTAAGTGTCCCACATCAGGTGTTTAAATGAGCTATTGCCTAATGTACACGTGTGAGATAAACACTCTGATAGTCTTTATGGGGCCTTTGAAGGCTCATTTTAACATAGCATGAGAGCCTGATCTGATTGAGGTTTGTTTATTTATTTGTTTGGACCGGATATTATAGTTTGGGTAGTCTGTTTGGGTCTGGTTTGGACCATTATCAACCCCTCACGTTCTCCCATTTATCGCCCTTCTGTTGTCAAGCCTGATTTTGATTTGGGCTGAGGGGCATATCAAATATCTCACAGCAGATATTTATCAGATTTATATCTAATATAAGTGTTAGGGAAACCTTTTGAGGATCATTTGGGTTGAGTGAGACCGAATTAATATAGCTCAAGTTTTTAGTTGAGACAGATTCGTCCTTAATACATCACTCTCATCTCCCGAAGTATTTTTTGTACCAGGCTGCAAGTTTACTGAAGCACTCACATCTTCAGCCATATGTCATGAAGATGAGTGTGATTTTGGACAGCCCTGGACGCCATACTCTCCCGGCCCAGTCCAATGATCTCAAGTATGCGAAGAAAACAAGAGGCGTGGAGGGGTCAGAAACTGTTCATTTGCATACTAATGGAGGGAGGAGGAGATCATTTTGCAGTAACAGGGCCTTGAATCCTAGTATTTCTGGAACTGAATTGGACAGCCACCCATTATCTCAAGATCTTATGAGTTCTTCGGGTATAAATAGATCTGAGCCGTCAGTTGGGAGTAATGTCCCTGATGCAAGTGTTAAAAAGACCACTGTCTCAAAGTTATCAACTGCCATCAATACTGCAAGATCAAGTTCCTATAAAACCTCAGCTCCTACTATTAGGAGACAGTCAACTCCATTAAAGATATCCAATCCTGGTTTGACCCGTGAATTGGTAAGTTTATTTTTGAAAGTGTTGTTCTTTTATCGTTTTATTAAGAGTCTGTTTGGGCAAGGTAAATTTTGACTTGGATTAATGAACTGTATTTGCTAAAATTGTAATTGAAATGACAAAACTTTCTGAATATGGTAAAAATCTACATATATACTCCCTCGATTTAAAAAAGATAGGCTTGGGCTTGTACAGTAATTTGGTCTGCACCATAAACATAGTCGAATTCCTATATGCGCCTTTTATGTAATTTAGGAGTTTGCCTCTATTGAGTTTTATTTTTCATAATTTCAAGGTATGAGTATTTCATTATCAACTTAACAAGATGGTAAAAGTGAAAATTACATATGAAACTTAATATTTCAACTTACTGAACAAGTATATCTTAGTCCCGTCCCGTGCAAATGTGAACTACTTACAAGCCCATCGATGTGAGATGGATGAAGTATTTATCTATATTAAATAAATACAAAAATAATATAAGAATGAAGTTAAAAGTTTTATTTCCTTTCAATGTAGCTATTTCAGCAAAGAAAAGATAAGAAAGAAACACTTGCTTTTCTTTTCATTGTCAGCTGCGAGTATAGTAAATAAAGGATCCTTTTGGTAGCTTTTTCTTCTTATACTAGAATAAACAGAGTAAGCTGCTTCTGACTTGCCTCTATTGCATAAGTTAGTGATTAGTAGAAATTTAGGTTGATAAATGATAAGCACAAAAGTCAATCTACAAATGCGGGAACTAAAACTAAATTTCTATTCTAAAATATATTTTCCAATTACATGATCATATCTCTTCTTGTGTAGCATCCAGTGGCAGTTAGCAAACCGTCCCCATCAAAACGAAGAGCATCTCTGCCATTGCCGTCAAAAACTCCAAAGGTGGCCCCACCTCGCAATCCAGCCAATGGTCAACTAAACGGTCTCGAGTCTCAAGATGTTTCCATGAACGCTCCAAGAATTAACAAAATGGTGGACTTTCGTTCACCTTCCTCCCCAAGCTGTGACTCCTCAGTGACTAAAGACAAGTGTACAGTCCAACAGAAACTGGATGACAACACTACTCGTGAAATTCGACAAGACGAAAGTGAAGGTTCGTCTTACAATCCACGCAGGTTTGATACCTCTTCATACAAGCAACGGGCTGAAGCTCTGGAAGGGTTGCTGGAGTTTAGTGCACAGCTGTTACAGCAAGAGCGGATCGATGAGCTGTGGGTTCTGCTTAAGCCTTTTGGACCGGAAAATGTTTCTCCCAGGGAAACCGCAATTTGGCTCACAAAGAGTATCATGGAGAATGCAGCTTAATTAAACTTCTGTTTTACAAGTGGAGTGCATGAATTACTTGTTCATGCAAATCTAGCGGAGAAGCAAAATTTTGTTGTGTTCCTCTATGGGGTTTTGATTTTGTCAATTATACGGGCTGCAGCCCAAACTTTACACCGGTCCAATTCTAAAATGGCAAAACTAACAATATGTCGTACTCCCTAGAGAAGAGCTTCTTCTTGACTTAAAATAGGGCTGCTATTGTATCGAGTTTTTTCGAACTATTGAAGTTCGAGCTCGTTGATTACTTGAATCTAGTGAGATGAGTTTAATCTGCTTCAAACTCAAACACAAACCGGATTTGAAGTTCAAATACTAATTTGAGATGAACTTGAGCGCAGGAGTGTGTTGTTATAAAGGCAAAGCGAGCAATACACACACTCAAGTAGTGAAGTATCACAATAGAAATAATTAACTAATCTCCTATGATTATTTATCAAATATTATATGATAAGAATCGCTATTCAAGTATCACATCAAGTGCTTTTGATATATTATCCTGAAAGTGGTGTATTGAAATAGGTAGTCTCTTCTGATTATTAAATATATTATTTAATTTATAAAATATTACTCAAGTATCATACTTCCTCTATTCTTTTTTAGTTGCAACATTTTCATTTTCATGTTTGCCAATGCACAATTTTGACCGTAAATATATTTAATTTCCTAAGTATATTTTTTAAAATTAAATTTTGGAAATTTGAAATGAGAAAAATTTAATTATATTTCTAAAAAATTTAAAATTTTAATGCATTAATAAATAGATTGTAGTCAAAGTTGAGCATGTGAATAGTGCAAAATTTCTAACGTTACAATTGTTTAACAACGAAGGTAGTATTAGATAATATGTATATGCTTGATCGATTTGAGCATTTAAGAAATTATTTCAGAATAAAGACCCATCTAATTTGCGGATGGAAATTTTGTGGTAAGACTATTGGTATGAAAATTGATTTAACTTTTGAAAATTAAATTAGAAATCTAGTCTAACCAAACAAGTGGCTTATCTGAAATCATTAGGTGGTGGTAGGGACGAACCAGTCATCCGTGCGAGACTGGCCTGGAAAATCATGATAATACTTTTAGTGGATCCATTCTCGCTAAAGGGACATCATGATAATTTCTTGGTGACTAATCATATGGCGTGATACCATCTTTGTTTGTGGGGAGCAACTCACATGTAAGGTGGAGAGTGACGAATCTAAACTGAGGTTGTTATGGATGATCGACTACTACTTCTCAATTAAGTTGATAAGAGGATAATTGTTGGGGTCCCTACTTAACTGGAGAAGTTAAAGAGAATTCTAGATTTGACTATTATGAAGATATTTAGAATTCTCTAGATACTAGTAAAGAAGCATAAAATGTTCTGGAATATTCTTAAACTTTCTAAAGAGGTGCATAGTTGTATAGAAACGTGTGAAAGAGTCTATAATAACCTAGAATGATGTTTAGATGGTTATAGATGTGTGGATGAGCGGATCTACAATAGTGATATAAGATCATGATTATGGAAGAGATGGAGGTGTTTCCCTGACATATGGTTTATTAACCGATTAAGAGTCTAGCTCTGGACCTATTCTTTAGATGGTTGTAGATAGAAAATTGATTGAAAGCAAATAGAGTTGGAACATAATCTCATTCAATCCGACACATGTGTAATTATGTTAGAATCAGATCATCTGAACCGATTCAGAATATTCATCGAAACGTTCATTCATTTTTTGGGGAATGAAGTGAATCATGTTCAATAATCATACACACTAAACATTGAAACTATTTGCACGAACTTAAAATGTAACAAAAAAGTCTTAATAAAGTGATACCAGTGGCATTTTTTGCTTCTTGAGTAAAAGGTTAAACTTATATATGAGGCTTAAAATTATGTACATGTACATATGAGAATAATCCTAAATCATCATCAATACATCAAACAAATCATCAACGTGAACAACTTCATCAAACAAAACCACTCTGATGGATCACCGACCTAGGGGTAGCCGAAGTCCAAGAATAAAAGGAGAGATTGAAAAATTCGGATCCCTTTCCACAAGCTAGAAAGTGATATTTATATTAAGGGAGAAATGCTTGACCAACATGTAAAATGATGTTATTCTATTGTGGCAAAGACACATGTCACACTTGCATTGCCTAACAGAATAAATGTGCTAGTCTAATAACATGGTGACACGTGTAAAAGTGATTAGAGACTTATTTGGATCAGTTAGCTGATTGGTACTATGTGTAACAGATTTGTACCAGAACCCCTGCGCATGCCACACGTGTGTGATCATGGGAAAATTCTTCATGGTAACTGCTAGGGTGATGTGGCCCTTATATAGCGGCAGTGACGTGACAACGGCTTGACACTTTATTGTTGAGATGTCTAAGTCCACAACTAGCTAGTGAGGCCCAGAGCTTCGCAAGCGAGGTCAGAGCTCAGGCGTTGTGAGTAGTTCCTGGAGGTTTTGACCCTGATCTTCTATTTGTCCGGTATTGGCGATTCCTTACTTCTTTTGACCTCAGTTGACTTTGAGTCTGTACCCAAGGTCGAATTTGGTGCCGACCTCGACAGGGTTCGAGATCGGATTTGGTCTTATCTTTACTATCTGGGGGCCTAATGTTGGGGCGACCTTGGGTGGGTCGAGGTGGGTCTTAGCGGCATGTTGACTTGGTGTTCTGGAGACTCTTTGTTCGTGAATGTTTGATACCCTTGGGGTATATGAGAATATACTTCATCACACACAATGAGAGTATATCGATTGCAAAATAAGGGACTATTAGCGGGGTAGAGTATATATAATAATGTGAACACAATTTTTATTTGTGAAGTGATTTTTATGTAGGTGTAGATTTTCATGCAAAAGGTGTTATACTTGTAGCTTTCCAAATAGTATAAATCCTACAAAGAAACCTATTGACTTTGCTCTTCAGCCTAACTCTCCTAAAAGTCATAACTTCTTTGAAGCACTTGATAGAAGTCAGAATAATACTTAGTTTCCTTATAATATCTACCAAAGCATAACAAAAATTAAACAACAAAGTCATCCTCAGTAGATGGTTTTTTTCACTGACCGAACTACAAGACGAATGAGAAGTTAGGAGGAATGTGTCTCTTCTAAGTTCGCTATGCTGTCTAGTTCTAACATAGAATTGAATTTATGTACTATTTCGTTTTCCCACCACAAAGTGACATAATGTCACTTTGTTTTGAAGGCAAAAGATAACTAAAGTGATGCTGATTTATAATATTTGGGAAAAACTTAGGGTATAAGAAGATGTTGTTATTTTCTTTAAAAAATGAAGATGTTGTTTTGGAGTTATTTAATTCGTTTAACCATTTTTTCCTACTTAAATCTAGCTAGACATGTACAAAAAAGGGTTCGGGTCGGGCTCGGGCGGGGCTTTTTATAAATTTTCTGCCCATCATGTGAGGGCGGGCCCGGCCCGACCCGCAAAAACGGGCCTAACCCTATGTCCATACCCGCCCATAAGAGCGGGCCGGGTAGTCCACCGGGCCGCCCGGCCCGGGAAAAACCATAGCCTCCTCCTCCTATTCTTTTCTTCTTTCCTTCAATTCTATTTGGCTTCAATTATGAAAAAGAATTCCTTTAATCACTGTTTTAATTCTATCTATACATTTATTTTCTAACGTTGTCTAGAGATGTTATTTTTTATGGCGATTGTCGTCAGCCAGATGTATATTCCCTGCCATCATTGGTCGGGTGTTCTTGTGTGCTAGTAATAGATTTCTAGCAGCTTCTTCATCAATTGGGAATATGAATTTCTTCTGCATCAGTATTGAGGACGATCGCCTCCCTCCTGAACCATCATCGATTCATGAAAATGGGATTGCATGGATTGCTTTCTTTCCGGTGGCTGGTGAAATCGGAACAAATTCTGCACTAGCCTCCTTACTGGTGGCTTGCAAAAACAGGAAATTCAATAGTTCCTTATTGGTGACTGGTCAATCCGGATCTATTTTGAGTAGCATGAGCAGTCACACTGCAGTACTAGTCTACATCGTTGCAGAGTTAGTGAACATGAGCGCCTTTATAGGTCTTTTTTGTTCTTTGTCTCACCCTAGTGTAGCTTTGAATGCTATGATTGTAATACTTCACCTCTTGATTGTTATGTTTTTTATACTTTTATTAAAAAAATCACATATAACACACTTTTCCTTAACCTAGTATATAAATAATTTGGATCCACATGGGTAACTCAGTTGGTCCAGTAGTGAGAAATTTGGAACAATGACAAAAAATCGAAACCCGCAACGGCCATGTGGAGGTTAGAGCTCCTGCGTGCTGGGTTGGACTATAACACCCCCAAATTTATACCCGAAATTGGTGCCAATTATAGCAGGTGTAGAAAGAATTTCCCAAAATATTTAATTCAAAAGAGTTTAAATTGCAACGGAAGCATAATATTCAATGGGTGTTACCGCCACACTCTATTCTCACATAACCGAATGCACAGGCTAAACCACCATCCAAAAATAATCCAAGTATTTAAGTACTGAAAATTTCAAAAATAATTAAAATGTCTACATGTTCTCAAACTGAAATAAACAATAACTAGGTGATTACAAATACTAAACTATGTAATCTAACGCATCTCTCATCATCATGCATAACATTCATCACCTACACAATTAAAGTGTAGAAAACAAAACAAAGAAAAAGAAACAAAAATTAGCTTTTTAGCTAAGTAAAGCCCACCCAACCCCGTAAATTAATCACGTTTGGCGAAAATAGTTTTTGATATAATACTATGTAAAAAAAACACACCACCAAAATTCTTTTCTAATAAAAAACATCATTTATCAACTTTATAATCTCAAATACCCATTTAGTTAAAAATAATCCTTATAACCTCCAAACAATTAACATCTCAAATAAAAGTACCACTTTTCAAAAATAACTTTTGTAGCTAAAAATATCACCATTCCAAAATCAATGTCACTCTTAGATTCTTTTAAGATGAGCAAAACTCAAGATTCCTCGAGCCCAATGAATCATTGTTGTGTACGACTCATCCCGGAATTCCGACTCCCACCGACCACCAATTGGAAACTGAACTTCACCCTTAAGTGTGCACACCCCCTAAAAGGGATTCCAAGCCCTCCGAGTAGTAAGAAGTCCAAGTAGTTCGGACAACGTCCCCCTACCTCACAATGGGTTAGATACCCGGGTGATGAGAAACTACTACCGCGGCCACCAAAGAACTTTTAAAGTTCTCAAAAGAAATACCGGGAATCTCCCGCCACCAATATTTACCGGGATTTCTCCCGCCACCAATAATCATCATAAACCTAAACTAAACCCGCAGTATATAGCTCTAACCACCCTCCACATTTATCCGGATGTGGAAAACC